AAGCCTGAGCCCAAATGACAGAGATGAGACAGGAAATAAAAATTTGGAAATAATGGAGGCCAGAGGGAAAGTCCACTGCAAGGGGAAGGACTTTCACTGGTGCCCAGGGCTTGCCAACCTTCTATTCAATTTTGGATACATGTATAGCCCTTAGCCAGGCAATTCCAGTCACAGGGAGACTATCTTAAAGATCAGTGAATAGTAGTCAAGATTTACACTAAGACTATTTGGTCAGGAAATTGCTTGAGCCCCCATTGTGTCCACTAAACAATCGGTGCATAGCTCTGGCCCTTGTCAGGGCTCCAGGTTCATCAGCATTCCCCACTCCTTGTTTACACTTTTCTGTTAGTGAAGGCAATGGGTATCTTCCAACACTTAATCTTGCTTTGTAAAATGTTTTCAGTGTCAAAAAATGAATGTTCCAACTTACCTCTATTTGAAGTATTTTGCCTCTCCTGAATAACTTTTGCTTAAATTACTGTCAAAATTGCATTGACTGGGTAATCAATTTATTGTGTATAATACTTGGATATATTAAGGAATGTCTTTCAGTTCATTTGTATCTGCTTTCTTTAGCATTGCTGTGTCATTTTCACTGTATGACTCACCGTCTTTGTAGAATAGATTGTCTTTATATGTTCATCTGTTTATTATGTGTGGTGTGTTTTTTGGCTTCAGGTGGCAATAATAAGAAGTGGTATTTTATTGCCCTGAAGCAATTAAATACTTATATAGGTTAAACATAATCCTCTGACTTACTCCCAACTAAAGGTTTCTAAACAAATCATATTTTTAAAGTAAAGAAATATTTATAAATCTGAAATGAATATCTATATACATGAAAATACTGGAAAATAATCAAAAGAATGGGACTAAGTAAACTGATAATAGTTATTCTTATAACTCTTTTTTAAATATTGTTGATTTTAAAATAGTCTTGCTTCCCAAATTAAGGAAAACTAACAGGAGACATTCTCCATTACTATCAATCTCTCATTAACTAGGTTACATGGACTAGAACAGTTAAAATATTCATTTTAAAAAGGTCTTCCTAGAACACAAAATACTTCAAAGACCACAACTTACAACTAGAAAAATTTTATCCCTGGAAAAATACGTAAATTAAATTTGTTTCCCACTATGTTGGATGGAACCTTATCTCAGGTTCCGGACCACCTGGTTCTGTATGGATATCTGGTTCTGTTTCTGAGGCCCACAACCTTAACTCAAGCTGCTTCCTTAACTCAACCTGCCTCTCTGTTCAGATGGGGAGACAGGGAGGGGCTGAGAGAGCAGGCTGCCCTTCCCCTCCCCCCTCCTCACTGAGGGTTTAAGGATCCAGGAAAATCAGAGGCAGAAAGTTTCCGTTCAAACCCCACCTGCCCGCCTTTAATTCTCTGTGACTTCCCTGTGAGGATGTGTTCCCGGCCTGTGAAGATCCTGGGAAAGACACCTCCCTGGGGCCTGTGCAGCTAAAGGGCAGGCCAGCCAGTAGCTCTGAGCACAGCCTCTGGGATCTGGAAACTTCTGTGTGAATTCCAGATTCCTCCTCCCCTCTGTATGCTTCTGCCACAGCTGCCTTTACTCCCTGGCACCCTAACAGAAGAACAGCCCGTCTATGTGGGGGGCCTTGTGCCATCAGAGGGCACCGGGCCCTCTCCTCCCTTTAAAGAAGCAAAATCCCCGCCCTCTCTGCTCCTGTCTCTTCTCTCCTTGTGAATCCTGTCACAGCCAAGCCACCAGCCAAACCCAGCAAAGACGGGAACTCCTCCAGGAAGGGCTGTCCCTGTGGGAGGAGGGGAGGGGCCCAGGCCGCCCCCTGGCTCCGCCCCGCCCCTCCCGCTGGCCCCGCCCCCACCGCGGAGCCGCTCCGCTCAGGCCCCGCCCCCCGCAGGGAGGCGCATGCGCAGTCCTGGCAGCCGAAAGCGGCTGCGGAGGGGCCGGTGGCGGCTCCCTGAGGCGGTGTCTGTGCTTTAAAGCCGCTGCTCCCGGCCCCTCCCCGCAGGGCGGGCTGAGGGCGCTGCGGGCGCAGAAGTCCGTGTGGGAGCCCCGCCCGGAGCCCCTCCCGGCGGTGAGTGCGGGTCCCGGCGGCTGCGCAGTGGAGGCGCCGCGTTCCTTTGGGGGAAACTGAGGCCCGGCCCGCGGTCTGTCCGCCTGTGGCTGTGGGCCCGCCCGCCGCGTGGTTTTCCCGCTGAAAACCGTTCCCGGGGCCGCGGGGGCCCCCGCGGGGCTGGAGGTCTGGTCAGTGGTTCCCGCCCTTTGCCCTCCCCGCCCGGCGCTTCCCGCCCAAAGAGCCCGGATGGCCCGGCCTGGGGGTCTGCGCCCGCCTTCCTAGTGAGAGGGCAGGGCAGGGTAAGAGGGCAGGCGGGGTAAGAGGGCGGGCGGGGTAAGAGGGCAGGCGGGGTAAGAGGGCGGGCGGGGTAAGAGGGCGGGCGGGGTAAGAGGGCGGGCGGGGTAAGAGGGCAGGGCAGGGTAAGAGGGCGGGCGGGGTAAGAGGGCAGGGCGGGGTAAGAGGGCAGGGCGGGGTAAGAGGGTAGGCGGGGCGAGAGGGCAGGGTGGGGCGGGTCCAGCTCCAGGTAACTGGACTCTAGGCCTAACCCAACCAATCAGGTCAGCCAAAGTAGCGGCACCACCCTCCCTATAAAACCCATTGATTTGTTAAGTTCTTCCTCTTTCTCGCCCATGCCCTCGTTGGTGTAGGTGAGACTGGGCCCGGACTAGTCCGAAATAAATACAGGCTTTCTGCAATTGCATCGGATTCGGCTCCCTGGTAGTCTTTGGGGTTGATGACACTTGGGCACAACACCTAGGCCCTCCATTAATCAGGTCTGAGTGCCAGAGGGCCAGTGCCAGGGGGTGGGCTCGGGGAAAACTCGGTGTCCCCCGAAGAGGGACCTGCCCCAGGGAGGGCTTTGTGGGGTCGGTGACTGCGGGGTGGGGGCCGGGCTGGGGGGCAGGAGAGGGAGGGAGAGACAGACACGGGGGGTGGGGGGGTGGAGAGGGGTCCACAAAGTATGGGGGAGCAGAGGGGGAGCAGCACAGACTGTAACAGGCAGCAACGGGGACACGGGCGCGAGGAGGGAAAGGCGCAGACGTGTGTGGAGATGCGAGCAGAGAGACCAGGAGAGAGAGCCCCGGAGGGAAATGGGCCTCAGGAGGTTCATGGTCCAGGTGTAGGAATGGAAATAGAGAAAATGGGAGGAAGAGCAGGGAGGGGAGGAGGACACAGGAAAGGACCACGGTGGAGAGAAAGTGAACAGGGAGACAGACAAACCCATAGACAGAAATACATAACAGTGGGAGGCGGGGAACCCTGATGTGGGTGAGGGTTGAGCTAATGAGTTGTGGATGATTTAGTTTTGTATTGGTTTGTGGAGATGTGTGTGTGTGTGTGTGTATTTTTTTAAATATATATTTTTCCCTATAGCAGTTGTCGGCAAACTGTGGCTCTCGAGTGACATGTGGCTCTTTGGCCCCTTGAGTTTTTAGCAAAGGCCAGCTTAGGAGTACCCTAATTAAGTTAATAACAATGTACCTACCTATATAGTTTAAGTTTTAAAAAATTGGCTCTCAAAAGAAATTTCAATCGTTGTACTGTTGATATTTGGCTCTGTTGATTAATGAGTTTGCTGACCACTGCCCTAGCGGCAAGGAGGGAGAGAGAGAGAAAAAAAATCAATGACTAGAGATAATCATTGATCAGTTGCCACCTGCATGCTCCTAACTGGGGATCTAACATGCAACCTGGCTATATGCTCTGACTAGGAATCTAACTGTGACCTCCTGGTTCATAGGTCCAAGCTCAACTGCTGAGATATGCCACCTAGGTGTGCCTATATATTTACTTTGACAACTGAATTGTTTTAGTTATGCAAATTTGAATAAGAATGACATACCTCTAGTTTATAAAGCTTGGGAGTCCTATATACCATATTTTTCGGACCATAAGACGCTCCGGACCATAAGACGCACCAGTTTTTAGAGAAGGGAAATGAAGAAAAAAAGATTCTGAAACAAATAGTGTCCTAAAATATTTTATGTGCATTAAAACCCAACATCACAGTCATAAACACATGCAATCAACCCTGTAAAGTAAACGGCAGCATTTAGAACCATTTTAGAGCCGGGCAAGCACACAGACCACACAGCCGGGCAAGTAAGAAAACTTTTTTTTTAAAGTATATGTGTAGGCTATATTTGGACCATAAGACGCAGGGACTCCCCCCCCCCCCCCCCCCCCCCCCCCCGCTTCTGGGGGGGAAAAAGTGCGTCTTATGGTCCGAAAAATATGGTAATAAAGAGGTACTTTGCAAATTGACTGTCACACCCTCACAAGAGGGCCACCCCCATGTGGTGAAAAGATGGGCATGGCCATGTCATCACAAGATGGCCACTACAAGATAGCTGGCAGGGGAGGGCAGTTGGGGGCAACCTGGCCAGCAGGGGAGGGCAGTTGGGCATGATCAGATGTGCAGGGGAGGGCAGTTAGGGTTGACTAGGCTGCCAGGGAAAGGCAGTTAGGGGCGACTAGCCCAGAATGGGAGCACAGTTGGAGGCTACTGGGCTGGCAGTTAGGGGCGACTTGGTTAGCAGAGAGGTCATTTGGGGGCCATCGGGCTGGCAGGAGAGCAACCGGATTACTCAAACTGGCAGGGAAGTGGTTAGGGGGTGATCAGGCTGGCAGGTAGAAGCAGTTAGGGGCAATTAGGCAGACAGGCGAGTGGTTGGGAGCCAGCAGTCCCAGATTGTGAGTGATGTCCAACTACCTGGGTTTGGGCCTAAAGCGGCAGTTGGACGTCCCCTGAGGGATCTCAGATTGGAGAGGGTGCAAACTGGTCTGAGAGACACCACACACGTGCCCCCACCCCCACCTCGTGTAGGAATTTTGTGCACCAGTTTTATAATAATTTGCTTCCAATGCAACCCTTATTCACTCAGAGGTGAGAGACTTATCTCTTGGTTATGGGTCCCTTGTCATTTCCTGGGATGGCAAAGACTAGGGTGCCCTGTGTCTGTCACCATGTGATGCTTTTTTTCTTTTTTAAAAAAAAATATATATTTTATTGATTTTTTACAGAGAGGGAAGGGAGAGGGATAGAGAGTTAGAAACATCAATGAGAGAGAAACATCTATCAGATGCTCCTTGCACGCCCCCTCCTGGGATGTGCCTGCAATCAAAGTACTTGCCCTTGACTGGAATCTAACCTGGGACACTTGAGTCCGCAGGCTGACGAGCTATCCACTGAGCCAAACTGATTAGGGCCATGTGATGCTTTTTCAATGAATATTAGAAGGCTTAGCTTTGTTGCTGTGGTGTTTTTTGCGTGTGTGTGTGTGTGTGTGTGTGTGTTTCATTGATGCATTTACTTTTTCAATGTCTGACATTTAATTTATTTTAAAACATCCAGAGACAAATCCTCTGTCTTCTCAGATCCCCTGAGGAGCTTTAAGAAAAGCCCGCAGGGGCACTTTCCCCCCTGGAGGAGGACAGCTGCTCTGGGCGGGTCATCCTTGGTCACTGAGGTGCCCCGGGTGATGGAAGGTGAGGACAGGGATTAGCCAGAGGTTTGCAGGATGTCTTCATAAGAGTGAGGTGAAGGTTTGTTCAGGGGAATAAAGGGGTGCTCTGTTTGGTTTGGGGGCTCAGGACAGCAGCTCACGTTCTTATGACTGGGAGTTTGTGGATGTCTTTGAGAGGACAGACACATGAAGATGGACTAAAACACCTCATAGTGCTGAAACCGGTTTGGCACAGTGGATAGAGCATCAGCCTGCGGATTGAAGGGTCCCGGGTTCGATTCCGGTCAAGGGCGTGTACCTTGGTTGCGGGCACATCCCCAGTAGGAGGTGTGCAGGAGGCGACTAATTGATGACTCTCTCGTCGATGTTTCTGACTCTATTTCTCTCCCTTCCTCTCTGGAAAAAATCAATAAAGTATATTTTTAAAAAATTAAAAAAAAAAAGTAAAACACCTCATAGTGTGATTTCTATTGTTCCTGACTCTCTCCTTTGACAATGGTTTGAAGGGGTGGCCTTTTCTGCATTTTCAGGTCTTTCTGTATGTGTGAGGTGGACTGAATAAGAGTCTATGCTGACACCTTTGAAGGCACATTCTGTGACTCCTCAACATAGTGTCACCTCAGAAAACAACCCAGACCCTGATCAGGACCAGGAGCAAATGGCTGCTTCTCAGGTAAAAGATGTGTCCTGTGTCTGAAGCTATGTTTGCTTTTCTCTAACATCTGGTGGTTAATTTCTCTATTTCTGTTGTTCTTGCCTTTGCAGGTTGTTTTTCTTTCCTTATTTCATTACTTTGTTCATTACTAGAGGTCTTGTGCACAAAATTCATGCAAGGGGGTAGAGGGTCCCTCAGCCTTTCCTGCACCCGCGTGCACTCTGGGACCCTTTGGGGGATGTCCAACAACTAGCAATTGGACAACCCTCTTGCAATGCAAGATGCTGCATGCTCCAGTTACCATACTTTTCATACAGTTGAAAGGCTTCTTGCTTTCATATGGGCAGCTACATTTTTTTTGCCCTGATTATAAAAAGTAGTGCATAATATGATCCTTCTTTGGCAGTACTATCATTTTCCTCATCGTATGGGTCGAAAAACTAAAGGAGAGAGAAGTTACATAATTGGCTTTGTCACACAGTTATAAGTTATGAGAATCAGGGCTGACCACAAAATCTATAAGCTAGAGTCCAGTCATGTCAACGCTGCATCATCCTGTTTTTTCAGTGTTAGAGTAGCCTTTCTCATTTTTAAGTTATAAATCTAAGAGACTGATCCCAATATATGGGGTCGGGTCCCTAAGCCTGGCCGGCAATCATGGCCCATCTGTGGGGTGACTGATGGGGCAATTGGTGAGTCTCCACTAGCACCCGCCTTGGGGGGTGGTCAGGGGCCGCTGCTGTCCATTCCCACCCTCTGCCACCATAGCAGCCGGTCTCCCTTTCAAAGGGCAGATGCTCTACTGAGAACACTCAGGGCACAGATGCTCCTGTGTTGAGCACCTACCCCTGGTTGTCAGTTCATGTCATAACAACTGGTTGTTCCCCAGCTTGGTTGATTTGCCTATTAGAGTTTTATATAGGATAGTCAATGTCAGCAGTTTCTATATTTCTCTCTTTTGTGCGTGTGTTTTTCTTTTTTTATCTCTCTTTTTAAAAATATATCTTATTGATTTCAGAATGGAAAGGAGAGGGGATAGAGACAGAAATACCAATCAGGATGGAGAATCATTGATCTCCTGCCTCTTGCACCCCATACTGCACTGGGTATCAAGTCTGAAACCTGACTAGGAATCCAACCAGGTGCCCTGACCAGGAATTCAACCCTAACCTCTTGGTTCATAAGTCAACCCTCTACCTCTCAGCCATACTGGGCCAGCTATAATTTCTTCCTTTGTCCTGTAGGCTTGTCTGTATTCATTCTGAAAGCAGGAAGCATTCCCACATTTATTTAGTGACTTTCAACTAATCAGAACATCCCTTTTGTGACAGATAAAGCTTGGAAGGCAGCCATGTCTAACATCCCTACTGGGATGGGTCAGAGGCTCACATATCACTGAAGAAGGCAAATGAAGGTCTTAGGTTCAATGGCTGCAGCATCAGCTCTAGATCACGGGTAAGAAGATGCACATCTCAGAATAACTCAGAACTTTCTGAATAGAAAGGCAAATAGGAGAGACTTGCTCACTGGATTAGTGTGAAATACTTGATAGATAAATGTACTGTTGTTAGCTTATAGAACATGAGAGATACATGTGGATTAACACTTGCAAAAATTAAAGTTTGTGATAATTTTGGCAAAATTATTCCTTTATTGATGTATTTTTGCCAGTAATGTGTCACAGCAGGGATGACCTGACCTTCTGTGGTCTCAGTCACCTTATACTTATTCTTCAGTCCACCTGGTGTTCATGTGACAGAGGTGCTCCCTCACTATAGAGTTCGTAGTCTCCCTTTCTCAGTAATAAGGGTATAATAGACATTTAATAAAGTTGTGCAAATACTATCACTTTTTTGTATTTCCTAGAAAGTTTTCAAGAATGGGCCGAAACCGGTTTGGCTCAGTGGATAGAGTGTCGGCCTGGAGACTGAAGGGTCCCAGGTTTGATTCCGGTCAAGGGCATGTACCTTGGTTGCGGGCACGTCCCCATTAGGGGGTGTGCAAGAGGCAACTGATTGATGATTCTCTCTCATCAATGTTTCTGACTCTCTATCCCTCTCTCTTCCTCTCTGTGAAAAATCAATAAAATATATATTTAAAAAAAAAAAAAAAAGAATGGTATTGTGTATCCAGTTTCATTAAATTTATACCACATAGTATATATACTGATGCATAAGAGGAGAAACCAAGATGGCAGCATAGGTAAATGCCTAACTGCACTCTTACACAACAATTTCAAAAAAATACAACTAGCTGAAACCAGTTTGGCTCAGTGGATAGAGTGTTGGCCTGAGGACTCAAGGGTCCCGAGTTCGATTCCGGTCAAGGGCATGTACCTTGGTTGCGGGCACATCCCCCGTAGTGGGTGTGCAAAAGGCAGCTGATCAGTGTTTCTTACTTTCTATCCCTCTCAACTTCCTCTCTATGAAAAATCAATAAAATATATATTTTTAAAAAATACAACTAAAATACAAAATGGACATTATCCAGAACTACAGGAAAGTTGACTAACTGGAAATTCTACAACTAGATGGAATAAGAAAACCATAAGGAAAATCAGAGGAGCTGTAAAAGCCTAAGGTACAGAGACACGGTGTGCATGTGGGAGAGGACTGAGCTGGAGAGGACGGGACAGCGTTCCATAGTGGGAAGGAGATAAAAGCTCCGGACTGTGCTGAACCCCAGTTCCGACTGCACCGAACCCCAGTTCTGGGCAAGACCCTGGGGACCCAGGCTCATACAGAGGGAAATAGGCTGTAAGGCGGAAATTCAGTGGAGTGGTGAAAGGCAGAGTCCCGGAGGCATGCATGCTGCGCGCAGAGGACGGACTGTTGACTGTGCCGCTGGATTGCCCTTGCGGGAAGGAGACAAAAGCTCCAGACTGCACTGAACCCTACTTCCAGCTGCACTGAACCCCAGTTCCGGACTCATTGGGGGAGAGACTAGACTGTCTGGTAGCGGGTGTAACTTCAGGGCACCTTTCTCTCACAGTTGCTTGCAGTGAGTACCAAAGCAGCGAGTACCTAAGGACACTGAGGAACAGTGAGACTAGGGAACCTCATAGGGCAGAGCTGAGGGGAAGCCAAGGCTGTAAGCTCCATCCAAACTCCGCCCCATCCAATCTGAGCACAGAGGCTTTTGCAATTTTCCAAGTCTAGTCAAATAAGGCTGTCTCCCGGCATAGACATAGCTGATCCTCACAGCCAATTGGCCTGGAGGTCAGGTCCTCCCAGAGATAACAACAACAATCAAGATTTAACTACAATATGGCTATACACACAGTACACAAAGGGGTGCACTAAGAGTGCACTGACCCACTGAACCACATAGGACACCTTAGCACACAAAGCCACCCTACTGATCCAGGGAAGCAGCGAAAATGCCGAGACAAGGAAACAGATCCCAAATGAAAGAAATGGAGGACAAGTGACTGGATATAGAGTTCAAAACCACAGTTCTAAGGTTTTTCAAGAATTTTCTAGAAAAGGCCGATAAAATAAACAAGACCTATGAGGATATGAAAAGGAATCAACTAGAAATAAAGAATACATTGTCTGAAATAAAAAATATTATACAGAGTTCTAAAAACAGAATGGTAGATCGCAAGAATCAAGTCAAAGATTTGTAATATAAAGCCAGAAGACACTCCTCCGCAGAAACAAGAAGATAGGAGAATCCAGAAAGTTGAAGAAAATGTAAGAAACCTCTGGGACAACTTCAAGCGAACCAACATCAGAATTATGGGGGTCCCAGAAGATGAGAGAGCAAGATATCAAAAACATACTGAAAGAAATAGTGACAAAACTTCTCCCACCTGGTGAAAGAATTAGACTTACAAGTCCAGGAAGCGCACAGAATTCCAAACAAAAGGAATCCATATAAGACCACACCAAGACAAATCATAATTAAAATTCCAAGAGCAAAAGACAAAGAGAGAATATTAAAAGCAGCAAGAGCAAAGCAGGTAGTTACCTATAAAGGAGCATCTATACAATTGTCAGCTGATTTCTCAACAGAAACCATGCAGGCCAGACAGGAATGGCAAGAAATATTCAAGGTGATGAATAGTAAGAACCTACAGCCCAAAATACTCTACCCAGCAAAGCTACCACTCAGAATCAAAGGCTAGATAAAGAGCTTCACAAATAAAAAAAAGCTAAAGGAGTGCATCACTGCCAAGGGAATTAAAAAATCTGATGAACAATATTAACTGGTGAATATAAAAGAATCAGAGGTATGGAAGGGGAGTGGACTGACAATTCATGGGGGGAAATGAGAGTAGGGGGTGCTGGAAGAGACTGAACATAAACTGCACCTATGGATAAGGACAGTGGGGGGGGGGGTGAGGAAAGGACAGAGGGTAGGGTGGGAACCTGGTGGAGGGGAGCAATGGAGGGGGGGGAAATGAGGAACATTTCTAATAATATGAACAATAAAGAGTTACTTAAAAAGAAAAATAAATGATGCACAAAAATTTTGAAAGAAATGTGCTAATAAAAATTAGTTTGCCAAGCTGTTGTGGATCAATGGTGGAAGATTTATTTCCTGGTCCAGGGCAAGTATGTTATAGATACTTGTGGTAGGCAACCAATACATATGTCTCTGTCTCTCACATTGATGTGTGTGTCTCTCTCTACCTATCTCTTTATCTCTCTTTCTCTCCTTTCCCTTTCATGCCTCAACCTTCCTGCCTTCCCCTCCCCAAAAATCCATGGAAAAAAATCTCCTGAGGTGAGGATTTACAACCATAAAAGGAAACAAAAGATCTAACTGTTTTTATATCTTTATGTTTCTCTCATTCTTTTCATAAAACACAAAGTGGATCACACAAATACATCCATGAGACTTACAAAATCAATAAATCATCTCTATTTCATAGTTGTAAAATGTGTGTCTCTGAGCCTAAACTGTTAACTTCATTTCAGATATTTTTTCTCCTCCTCCTCCCCCAAAGTACATTTTTATGGATTTCAGAGAAAAAGAGAGGTAGAGAGAGAAACATCATTGATGAGAGGGAATCATTGATAAGCTGCCTTCTATACAACCTACATTGGGGATTGAGCCCTCATACTGGTTCTATGTCCAGATCTGGAATGAAACCAGTGACCTTTTGGTACATGGGTTAGCAGGCAACACTGAGCCACACCAGCTGGACTATGCAGAATAATCTTCTTTTAAGATTACTCATAGTGGGATCCAAGATGGCTGCGCCCAGGTGAACACCTAGCCGCAGCCGCACACAACAATTTCAATAAAATACAACTAAAATATAAAACGGACATTGCCCAGAACTACAGGAAGGTTGACTGACTGGAAATTCTACAGCGAGAAGCAAGGAGAAAACCAGAAGGAGGCGCGGAGGAGCTGGAAAAGCCCAAGGTACGGAGACGCGGCGCGCGGAGAGGACGGAGCCAGAGAGGAGGGAGGCCGAGTGCCTGGCGGGCGTTCCCGAGCGGAAAGGAGAGAAAAGCTCCGACTGTGCTGGGCCCCCAACTGCTCTGAACCCGGTTCTGGGCCAGACCCCAGGGACTCAGGCTCAGCCATAGGGAGCCGGGCTGTAAGGCGGAACCCCGGGGAGAGACGAAAGGAGGTCCCGGAGGCGTGCACACTGCGCGCAGAGAAGGGACGATCGGCTGTGCCGCGAGATTGCCCTGATGGGAAGGAGACCTGGGCTCCAGACTGCTCTGAACGCCACCTCCAACTCCACTTCCAACTGAACTGAACCCCAATACCGGACTCATTGGGGGAGAGCATAGACTGTTTGGCAGCAGGCGAAAATCGAGGGCACCTTTCTCTCAGAGGCGCCGGCAGCAGCGAGCACTGAAGGACCCGCATAGGGCGGGGCTGACGGAAGCCAAAGCTGCAGGCTCCACCCTGAAACCCCGTCCCATCAGTAACTGCGAAATGCGACAACAAAATAGATCACAAACGAAAGAAATGGAGGACAAAAAGCGTCTGGATATAGAGTTCAAATCTACGCTTATAAGGTTTTTCAAGAATTTCCTAGAAAAGATGGATAAGGCCTATGAGGATATGAAAAGAGATCAACTAGAATTAATAAGGAGTCAACAAGAAATGATAAGGGATCAACAAGAAATAAAGAATACATTGTCTGAAATAAAAAATATTTTACTGAGTCCTAAAAACAGAAGGGAAGATCGCAAGAATCAAGTCAAAGATTTGGAACATAAAGAGCCAGAAGACACTCCTCCACAGAAGCTAGAAGGCAAGAGAATCCAGAAAATTGAAGATAATGTAAGAAACCTCTGGGACAACTTCAAGCGAACCAACATCAGAATTATGGGGGTCCCAGAAGATGAGAGAGAGCAAGATATCGAAAACATACTGAAAGAAATAGTGACAGAAAACTTCCCCTACCTGGTGAAAGAATTAGACTTACAAGTCCAGGAAGCGCACAGAACTCCAAACAAAAGGAATCCAAAGAGGACCACACCGAGACACATCATTATTAAAATTCCAAGAGCAAAAGACAAAGAGAGAATATTAAAAGAAGCAAGAGCAAAGAAGGTAGTAACCTACAAAGGAGCACCTATACGATTGTCAGCTGACTTCTCAACAGAAACCATGCAGGCCAGAAGGGAATGGCAAGAAATATTCAAGGTGATGAATAGCAAGAACCTACAGCCAAAAATAATCTACCCAGCAAAGCTATCACTCAGAATCGAAGGCCAGATAAAGAGCTTCACTAATAAAAAAAAGCTAAAGGAGTTCATCACCACCAAACCAGAATTATATGAATTGCTGAAGGGGGTTCTTTCAGAAGAGAAAGTAAACAAAGATAAAAATTATGAACAACAAATACATAACTATCAACAAGTGAATCTAAAAACCAAGGAAATTAAAAAAATCTGATGAACAATATTAACTGGTGAATATAATAGAATCAGAGGTATGGAAGGGGAGTGAACCGACGATTCTTGGGGTAAAGGGGAGAGGGGGGCGTGGGAAGAGACTGAACATAAACTGTGCACCTATGGATGAGGACAATGGGGAGAGGGGAAAGGGCAGAGGGCGGGGTGGGAACCTGGTGGAGGAGAGCAATGGTGGGGGGGGGGGAAAGGAACATTTGTAATAATATGAACAATAAAAACTTATTAAAAAAAAAAAAAAAAAAGATTACTCATAGTAACTTTTCCACTAGGATTATGGTTTCTATGTGTGCTATTCCATGAGAAATGAATTATATTAACATACCCTTTTAGTTTAAAGTTCTGTATGAATTTTTTTCTCTGTTTTCACTTTCTCTGTATTCAGAATTATGGCACATGGATCGGAAACATTGAAATCACAAGTAAAAAGTGAGCCTGTTACATATGTGGAAACACAGGTACCATCTCAGAACCTGGATCACAATCTATATGTATACAAAAGTTCGTTTCCTTGTGGTCTGTTTTACACTTGAGAAGAAGTCCGTATATTTCCAACCAGCATGGCATTTCTTGCTGAGAAATATACACCACTGGCCCTGAGTGATGGAAATACGGTACTCAGAAATCCAGGTTCCTGTGTACATTATTTAATTTTTTAAAAATATATTGTTATTGCCCTGTTTTGGCTCAGTGGATAGAGTGTCGGCCTGCAGACTGAAGGGTCCCAGGTTCGATTCTGCTCGAGGGCATGTACCTTGGTTGCGGGCACATTCCCAGTAAGAGGTGTGCAGGAGGTAGCTGATCGATGTTTCTCATTGATGTTTCCAACTCTCTATCCCTCTTACTTCCTCTCTGTAAAAAATCAATGAAATATATTTTTCAAAATTTTTAAATTGTTTTTAGAGAGGAAAAGAGAGGGGATGAGAGAGAGAGAGATAGAAACATCAATGATGAGAGTCACAGATCAACTGCCTCCTGCATGCTCCCAGAAGGATGCAGCCCGCAACCCAGGCATGTGCCCTTGACTAGAATCAAATCTGGGACCGTTCATGTCCTAGGCTAGCATGCTTTAATTTTAAAGTTTATTTTCCTGAAACATAATTGTACCGTGGATTTGTGGACATGTGTTATCCTCATGTGTCAGTGTTAGAAAACACATCAGAGAATGTTACTGGGGAAAAGTGATCTATTGAATAATTCAAGATACTCCCCTAGGTTCAAACCTCTTCTCCTGACACTTTTCATGTTGGGAGACACTATGAACTTTCCCGGTGACCTCTTGGTAAAATGTCTTTTCTTTCAGGAAATGTTGACTTTCACGGATGTGGCCATAGATTTCTCTCAGGAGGAGTGGGAGTGCCTGGACCCAGCTCAGCGGAAGTTGTACCTGGATGTGATGTTGGAGAACTACAGCAACCTGGCCTCCCTGGGTGAGGATGACTTCCTTCCCAAGTTCATACTCCACCCGCGGGGCTTGGTTTCCTATGTTATTTTAACATCTCTAAGGCCTTCAGCGGAGGGCAGTTAGGGACAACTGGGTCGGCAGGGGAGGGCAGTTGGGGGTTACAGGGCTACGGTGGGAGCACATTTGGGGGTTACCAGGTCTGCAGGGGAGGGCAGTAGGCGGCAGTCAGGCCAACAGGGGAGCAGTTAGGCATCGATCAAGCTGGCAGGCAGAAACGGTTAGGGGCAATCAGGCAGGCAGGTAGGTGAGCGTGTGAGAGCCAGCACGCCCGACTTGGTGAGGGTGATGTCTTACAGGGATCGGGCCTAAACCAGTAGTCAGAAAGCCCCCCAAGGGGTCCCAGGTTGGATAGGGTGCAGACTGGGCTGAAGGACACAGGCCCCCATTGCAAGAATTTTGTGCACTGAGCATCTAATGTGTTTATAATCTTGCTGCATGAATGTTGTCATTTCTCCACTTCATTGGTATTACTTTTTCTTTTTTTTAATGGATGATTGGCATTCTGTTAGGTGTTTGGTGGTATTTCATGGAGGTGTCCATTGCATTTCTCTGGTGATAAATGAGTTGAACTTCATTTAATATGTCTATTGTGCATCTTTATGTTCTGTTTGTGAAATGACCATTCAGGTCCTCTGTCCATTTTTCAATAATGTTGTTTGTCTCATTGGTATTAAGCTGTGTGAATTCCTCACATAATTTGTATCTTTATTTTTTTAGGATGTAACATTGCTGGGCTGTTGTTGTTTTTGTTATTTTATAGTTTCTTTTGGTATGCCAAACTTATTCTTTTGTAGTCTCATTTCTTTATTTTTTTAACTTTTTTGTTATGCCTAGGAAGATATATGCAAACCAGTATTTTTTAAGAGTAATGGTAAAGTTCATTGATAATGCTGACAGTGTTTTCATGGTTTCAGGTCTTATATTTTAGTTCCACGCTGAGTTCATTTTAATTCATGGCCTATGAACGGCATCTAGTTTTATTATTTTTGCATGTATCTGTTCCATTTTGTCTCCCTACTTGATGAAAAATCTGTCTTTATCTATTGTGTGTTCTTGCCTTCTATCTTGTAAAGTAGTTAACCATATAGCTTTGGACATTTTTAAAGTTGTGTTACTTCCTTTTTCATGTTGACTTTTAAAAGGTGTTCATATATTTGGAATATTAACTACTTATCAGGTAATCTGCTTTGTAGAAATTTTTTTTTACATTTCACAGCTTGTATTTTTTTTTAATATATTTTATTGATTTTTACAGAGAGGAAGGGAGAGAGATAGAGAGCTAGAAACATCGATGAGAAAGAAACATCGACCAGCTGCCTCCTGCACACCCCCTGCCAGGGATGTGCCCGCAACCAAGGTACATGCCCTTGACCGGAATCGAACCCGGGACCCTTCAGTCCGCAGACCGAAGCTCTACCACTGAACCAAACCGGTTTCGGCACAGCTTGTATTTTTAATGCACTAAGAATTTGCTTTAATGTGAAATTATTTTTATTTGGTGTGTAATGCCTTTTGATTATTTTGAGTACCTTTCCATTCAGTGCTACAATATAAAATCAAATGTCATAAAAACTTTCCTATATGCCTTAGGCCACATGTGTCAAACACAAGGCCCGAGGGCCAAATCCGTCCCACCAGGCCTTGCAATGTGGCCTGAACCGCGCTGTCATCACTGCACTCCGCTGCGTTTCCATCACAATGACAGTTTATGACTGTTCAGTAAACCATTCGGCCCGCGATTTAGGCTGGATTTTAGATTTTGGCCCCTTCTCTGATTGAGTTCGACACCCCTGCCTTAGGCAGATAGGCATAGTGGATAGAATGTGGGCCTGTGGACTGAAGGGTCCCAGGTTCTATTCCAATCAAGGGAACATGACTAGGATGCAGGCTTGATCCTCAGTAGGGGCATTGCAGGAGGCATTTGTATGTCACTTTCTCCAGTTGTCAGGCTCTTAAATGATTGATTTTTTTATATAAGCTATCTAATACTTTTTGGTATCTTCTTGGAGGTCGACTTGTTAGTGTCTTAGGAATTTCTTAAATTCTCTTTATATTTCCACACGTCTGTTGGGTTTTCTTAATCAAAATTTTAATGAATTATTTTTTTTTTAATGAAATATAAGTTCTTTGTTTTTTTTTATTTTGGATTTTATTTAAATTTTTATGAAATATGTACAAGTTCTTTGATTATTTTATTTTCAGAGAAAAGAGATAGAAATACCAGTGAAAGAGAGAATCATCGATCAGCTGTCTCCTACATGATGGGGGTCTAGCCTTCAACTCAGGCCTGTGACTTACCATGGAACCAAAGTTTGACCACTTGGTTCATAGATCGAAGCTCAACCACTGAGCCACCATTTTATGGAAAATTCTTTGATGTTCTAAGTTGATGTTCTTTTGTTATTGAGACTACTGTATTTTTTAATAAGTTTTTATTGTTCATATTATTACAGATGTTCCTTCCCGCTCCACCCCACCATTGCTCTCCTCCACCAGGTTCCCACCCCACCCTCTGCCCTTTCCCCACTCCCCATTGTCCTCATCCATAGGTGCACAGTTTATGTTCAGTCTCTTCCCACATCCCCCTCTCCCCTTTTCCCCAAGAATTGTCAGTTCACTCCCCTTCCATACCTCTGATTCTATTATATTCAACAATTAATATTGTTGATCAGATTTTTTTTTAATTTCCTTGGTTTTTAGATTCACTTGTTGATAGTTACGTATTTGTTGTTCATAATTTTTATCTTTCTTTTTTTTTCATAATTTTTACCTTTATTTACTTTCTCTTCTGAAAGAATCCCCTTCAGCAATTCATATAATTCTGGTTTGGTGTTGATGAACTCCTTTAGCTTTTTTTTTTTTTTTTTTTTTTAATATATATATTTTATTGATTATGTACAGAGAGGAAGGGAGAGAGATACAGAGTTAGAAACATCGATGAGAGAGAGTCATCGATCCGCTGCCTCCTGCACACCCCCTACTGGGGATATGCCCGCAACCAAGGCACATGCCCTTGACCCGAATCGAACCCGGGACCTTTCAGTCCCCAACTGGACGCTCTATCCATTGAGCCAAACCGGTTTCAGCTCCTTTAGCTTTTTTTTTTATTAGTGAAGCTCTTTATCTGACCTTCGATTCTGAGTGATAGCTTTGCTGGATAGATTATCCTTGGCTGTAGGTTCTTACTATTCATCACCTTGAATATTTCTTGCCATTCCCGACTGGCCTGCATGGTTTCTGTTGAGAAATCAGCTGACAATCTTATAGGTGCTCCTTTATAGGTAACTACCTTCTTTTCTCTTGCTACTTTTAATATTCTCTCTTTGTCTTTTGCTCTTGGAATTTTAATTATGATGTGTCTCGGTGTGGTCCTCTTTGGATTCCTTTTGTTTGGAGTTCTGTGCGCTTCCTGGACTTCTAAGTCTAATTTTTTCACCAGGTGGGGGAAGTTTTCTGTCACTATTTCTTTCAGTATGTTTTCGATATCTTGCTCTCTTTCATGTTCTGGGACCCCCATAATTCTGATGTTGGTTCGCTTGAAGTTGTCCCAGAGGTTTCTTACATTATCTTCAATTTTCTGGATTTTCTTGCCTTCTAGCTTCTGCGGAGGAGTGTCTTCTGGCTCTTTATATTACAAATCTTTGACTTGATTCTTGCAGTCTTCCATTCTGTTTTTAGGACTCTGTATAATATTTTTTATTTCAGTCAATGTATTCTTTATTTCTTGTTGATCCCTTATCATTTCTTGTTGACTCCTTATTAATTCTAGTTGATCTCTTTTCATATCCTCATACGTCTTATCCATCTTTTCTAGGAAATTCTTGAAAAACCTTATAAGTGTAGTTTTGAACTCTATATCCAGTCTCTTTTTGTCCTCCATTTCTTTCGTTTGTGATCTATTTCGTTGTCGCATTTCGCAGTTACAGATGGGACAGGATTTCAGGGTGGAGCCTACAGCCTTGGCCTCCGTCAGCCCCGCCCTATGCGGATCCTGCGTCTCAGGGTCCTTCAGTACTCACTGCAAAGCACCTCTGAGAGATAGGTGCCCTCGATTTTCACCTGCTGCCAAACAGTCTAGGCTTTCCCCCAATGAGCCCGGTATTGGGGTTCAGTTCAGTTGGAAGTGGAGTTGGAGGTGGCGTTCAGAGCAGACTGGAGCCCCAGTCTCCTTCCAGCCAGGGCAATCCCGCGGCACAGCTGACCATCCCTTCTCTGCGCGCATTGTGCGTGCCTCTGGGACCTCCTTTCGCCGCTTCCCCGGGGTTCCTTACAGCCCAGCTCCGTATGGATGAGCCTGGGTCCCCGGGGTCTGGCCTAGAACTGGGGTTCAGAGCAGTCACAACTGGGGCCCAGCATAGTCGGAGTTTTATCTCCTTCTCGCTAGGGAACGCCAGCCAGGCATTCGGCCTCCCTCCTCTCCGGCTCCGTCCTCTCCGCCTGTGCCGCATGTCTCTGTACCTTGGGCTTTTCCAGCTCCTCCGCGCTTCCTTCTGGTTTTCTCCTTGCTTCTCGTTGTAGAATTTCCAGTCAGTCGACTTTCCTGTAGTTCTGGGTAATGTCCATTTTATATTTTAGTTGTATTTTATTGAAATTGTTGTGTGCGGCTGCGGCTAGGTGTTTACCTGGGCACAGCCATCTTGGATCCCTCTACTGTATTTTTTAATTTGGCTATTATGTTTTTTAATTTCACCTTTTGATGTGTTGTTTATAAAGTACTCTTTTATTGTATTTTTACTTTGGTTATATAATATTTTTGGTGATATTATGGAGTTTTTGTTTTTTCCCCACCTTTTTGGCTTTAAGATATTTAGTTTCATTATTTTATTTTATATTTTTTAATATATTTTATTGATATTTTACAGAGGAAGGGAGAGAGAGAGAGAGAGCTAGAAACATTGACGAGAGAGAAACATCGACCAGCCGCCTCTTGCACACCGCCCACTGGGGATGTGCCCACAACCAATGTACATGCCCTTGACCGGAATCGAACCTGGGACCCTTCAGTCCGCAGACTGACACTCTACCACTGAGCCAAACCGGCTTCAGCTCATTTGATTACTTTTATTTTGTATTTTTGATGATACACTTTTTCTGTTTCTATGCATGACTTATATTTTGTAGAGATTTCAGAATTGTAAACAAGCAGTCTTTTGAACATTTTTTCTATAAGAAGAGACAAATAATAGCCATCTGTGGAATCAATTCTACTTTCTATCAGCAGTTTTCACTATTGTATTCTTGGTTCGGTTGTCTGTTTAATTTCCCAGTTAAGATGGTCTCGTTAGAGAGCTAGAAACGTTGATGAGAGAGAAACATCGACCAGCTGCCTTTTGCACACCCCGTACCAGGGATGTGCCTGCAACCAAGGTACATGCCCTTAACCGGAATCGAACCTGGGACCTTTCAGTCTGCAGACTGACACTCTATCACTGAGCCAAACCGGCTTCGGCTAGTATTTTTATTTTTTTAATATATTTTATTGTTTGTTTGTTTGTTTGTTTTTTAACAGAGACGAAGGGAGAGAGTTAGAAACATCAGTGAGAGAGAAATATCGATCAGCTGCCTCCTGGACACCTCCTTATGTGGATGGGCCTGCAACCAATGTGCATGCTGTTGACCAGAATTGAACCGGGAACTTTCAGTCCACACGTTGACACTCTGTCCACTGAGCCAAACCGGTTTTGGTATCTTTTTAGTCTTGATATACATCTTCATTACCACTGTTTGTGGTTCTCAATTTCTCGTTGTTTCTTTGTAGCAGCCACTACAGGACTCTCATCATATACTGCCATTCTGTTCTCAATCTGTGTTCGCACTTCTTGTTGTTCAAGAAGTTTCGAAATAGGGAGGACATTGAATGTGCACTTCCCTCATCGCTCTCTCTCCAATGAAGTAACTGGACATTGGGAGTGTTTTTGTAATATTGCCATTGTGTGCCAGGGGTTTTAAGCAGGTATCATTGGAAAATATAAGGAACTCATTGCCCCTCTTTGATGTGAGTTTTCCTCATTGTACCTATCTTGAGCTTTGATTGAATTTTTTTCATGCTCTTGGAGTATTAAAAAATGTAATTTGATGAATATGTGCTGTTAACTTCAAAGTTCACTGACCTGATTGTCAAAACTTAAAAACTTGTGTGTGTGTGTGTGTGTGTGTGTGTTTTTTGTTTTTTTTTCCAGCTATGTCATCTGAAGATAACCAGATCCTTATGCCAAAGCCTGGAATACAAGATTTATTCCCTAAAATAATACTGGTGAGATTTAAAAAAGGTGTTGCGTTCATAATGTACACTTACTGAAAGCCTTGGAATTTGAGGAAGAATATGATAAGAAGGGAGGATATTAATTGAAACAGAACTAATCTGGAACACTTATAATCAAATTCTTGTTACCTTAAGAAGTCAGGTGTATTATACATTTGGGATTTTTCCAGGTTAAAATCAGTAACATTGGCAGATCAGTGTGTTTCTGTACATGAAGATTGGCAACAACTTTTTATTGTTTAGCATTCTTGGAAAGGAAATCTGTAAAAGCTAGGAATTCACATATTCTCTAGTGTAAATATTTATTTGAATTATTTAAAATGTAGGGTGGAATTAACTTTCATGCAATCATATCTAAGATGTATAGATTTATAACATACCTATAAAGTTAAAATGTGCACAATTGGGCAATCTTTTATGATTCCTTAAATTAAAATATTTTATTTATTTATTTCAGAGAGAGAGAGAGACAAACAGGGAGAGGAAAACATCAATGATGAGAGAGAATCATTGGCTGCCTCCTCCTGCATGCCTCCCACTGGGGACTGATCCCGCAGTCAGATCATTAACCCTTACTAATCATGGAACCATAACCATGTTTATCTTTCGAAGCTCAATCACTTAACCATGCTGGCTGGGCAATTTGGCAATCTTTTATACAAGGATTTATTCTTCTTCCTCTGACAATGTTTTGTATTTATTTTTTTAATATATTTTATTGATTTTGTATAGAGAGGAAGGGAGAGAGATAGAGTTAGAAACATCGATGGGAGAGAGTCATCGATCAGCTGCCTCTTGCACACCCCCTGCTGGGGATATGCCCGCAACCAAGGTACATGCCCTTGACCAGAATCGAACCCGGGACCCTTCAGTCCCCAAGCCGACGCTCTATCCATTGAGCCAAACCAGTTTCGGCTGTATTTATTTTTTTATCTGTAATTTCAATAAATTAGGAAAGCTTTTTTTACACAGCCATCTTGGTTTAATGAGTATCACAAAATGGTACGTATGGAATGAGTGTACATGTTTAATGAAATTATAAATCTCACTACAAGTCTTTCTTTCTCCCATTATTACCAGAGTACGCATAAAGAAGATAGCAGTTATCAATGGATTAAACATTGGAAACATTTTAAGCAAGAGTTATATCTTAATCATCGGACAAGTGAGCTTGCAGAAGACCATTATAAAAGTGGCAAAGTCTTTGACCAAATGTCCAATCACAACATACATCAGGTTATTCCTATTGTGGAGAAGACACACAAAGGAAGTAAATGTGTCCAGTCTTTTCATCAGTCTTCAAGTTATAATGAACAAAAGAATATTCATACTGGGGAGGAGGCTTACAATTGGGATCCTTGTGGTAGAATCTTTAGTCAAGTATTCAATCTAAATAAAATGAAAAAAATCCATAGTGGAGGAAAACCTTATACATGTAAAGATTCTGGCCAAACATGTAATTGGCTCTCTGGTAGCACTGTAAATCACAGAACTTATACTGGAGAAAAGCCTTATAAATGTACAGAATGTGGCAAAGCCTTTGGCAGCTCTTCAGTCCTTATTAAGCATCAGAGAATTCATACTGGAGATAAGCCTTATAAATGTAGAGAATGTGGCAAAGCCTTTAGATGGTCCGCAAACCTTACTTATCATGAGAGAACTCACACCGGAGAGAAGCTTTATAAATGTAGTGAATGTGACAAAGGATTCATTTCTGTACCATGGCTTAGTTGTCATCAGAGAATTTATACTGGAGAAAAGCCTTACAAATGTAGCGAATGTGGTAAAGCCTTTAGCCAGTCTTCACACCTTACTTACCATCTGGAAGTTCATACAGGAGAGAAGCCATATAAATGTGAAAAGTGTGGCAAAACCTTTAGGAATTCCTCATTTCTTACTTATCTTCAGAGAATTCACATTGGAGAGAAGCCTTATAAATGTAGGGAATGTGGCAAAGCATTCAGTAAAACATCATCCCTTAATTATCATCAGAGAATTCACACTGGAGAGAAGCCTTATAAATGTAGAGAATGTGGCAAAGCCTTTGGTAGCTCCTCCCACCTTACTACCCATCAAAGAGTTCATACTGGAGAGAAGCCTTATAAATGTAGAGAATGTGGCAAAGCCTTTACAGAGTCCTCACACCTTACTACCCATCAAAGAGTTCATACTGGAGAGAAGCCTTATAAATGTAGAGAATGTGGCAAAGCCTTTACAGAGTCCTCACACCTTACTACCCATCAAAGAGTTCATACTGGAGAGAAGCCTTATAAATGTAGAGAATGTGGCAAAGCCTTTACAGAGTCCTCACACCTTACTTGTCATCAGCGAATTCACACCGGAGAGAAGCCTTATAAATGTAGAGAATGTGGCAAAGCCTTTACAGAGTCCTCACACCTTACTTGTCATCAGCGAATTCACACCGGAGAGAAGCCTTATAAATGTAGAGAATGTGGCAAAGCCTTTGGCAGCTCTTCAGTCCTTACTAGGCATCAGAGAGTTCATACTGGAGAGAAGCCATATACATGTAGAGAATGTGGCAAAGCCTTTAGCCAGTCCTCATCCCTTAAAAAGCATCAAAGCGTTCACACTGGAGATAAACCTTCTAAATGTAGAGAATGTGGCAAAGCATTCAGTGAGTCCACAAAGCTTAATCGACATCAGAGAGTTCATACTGGAGAGAAGCCTTATAAATGTAGAGAATATGGCAACGTCTTTAGCCGTTCCTTCTCCCTTCATGAACATCAGCGAATTCATTCTGGAGAGAAGTCTTACAAATGTGGAAAATGTAGCAAAGCTTTTAGTAGGCCCTCACACCTTACTTGTCATCAGCGAATTCACACCGGAGAGAAGCCTTATAAATGTAGAGAATGTGGCAAAGCCTTTGGCAGCTCTTCAGTCCTTACTAGGCATCAGAGAGTTCATACTGGAGAGAAGCCATATACATGTAGAGAATGTGGCAAAGCCTTTAGCCAGTCCTCATCCCTTAAAAAGCATCAGAGCGTTCACACTGGAGATAAACCTTATAAATGTAGAGAATGTGGCAAAGCATTCAGTGAGTCCACAAAGCTTAAACGACATCAGAAAGTTCATACTGGAGAGAAGCCTTATAAATGTAGAGAATGTGGCAAAGTCTTTAGCCGTTCCTTCTCCCTTCATGAACATCAGCGAATTCATTCTGGAGAGAAGTCTTATAAATGTGGAAAATGTGGCAAAGCTTTTAGTAGGCCCTCACACCTTACTAAGCATCAGGTAGTTCATACTGGAGAGAAGCCTTATAAATGTAGGGAATGTGGCAAAGCCTATAGCCATTCTTCATCTCTTACTTATCATCAAAGAGTTCATACTTGAGAGAAGTCTTACAGATGTGAGGAGTATTAGAAGTGTTTACCAGGGAGAACTTAGTGAATATCACAGAATTTATACTGGGAAAAAGCCAAATTAATTTGTAAAATATAAAAAAGCCTTTCCATGCTATTCATGTATTACTGTACTTTACAGCCTTCATACTAAAGAGAGACCTTACAAAACTAGGGAATGGGCTAGAGCCGTGGTCGGCAAACTGTGGCTCACAAACCACACGCAGTTCTTTGGCAACTTTGAGTGTGGCTATTTCACAAAATACTACGGCTTGGTTGAGACTATTTTGAAAAAGTGGCATTAGAAGAAGTTTAAAAATTTTGGCTCAAAATAAATTTCAATCGTACTGTTGATATTTGGCTCTGTTGACTAATGAGTTTGCAGACCACTGGGCTATAGCATTTACCCTCAGATCAAAGTTTACTGAACATCAGAGATTTTATAGTGAAGGAAAGCCTGTAGAAAATGTGAGGGAGACTTTAATGTGTGGTCAAACTTAGTACACATTTTAAGTATCATTCTAGCCAAAACCAGTTTTGCTCAGTGGATAGAGCTTCAGTCTGCGGACTGAAAGGTCCTAGGTTCGATCACGGTCAAGGGCATGTACATTGGTTACGGGCCCATCCCCGGTAGGGCTTGTGCATGAGGCAGCTGGTCGATGTTTCTTTCTCTCCCTTTCTCTCTGTAAAAAAATCAATAAAATATGTTTAAAAAAAAAATATCATTCTGCCAAAACTGGTTTGGCTCAGTGGATAGAGCATTGACTTGTGGACTAAAAGGTCCTGGGTTCAATCCTGGTCAAGGGCATGTACATTGGTTGCTAGCACATCTCCGGTGGGGATTGTGCAGGAGGCAGCTGGTCGATGATTCTCATCGATGTTTCTGGCTCTCTATCCCTTTCCCTTTCTCTCTGTAAAAAAATCAACAAAATACATTAAAAAAAAAAAATCATTCTAAGTAGAAACAAAAAAGTATTTTTCCAAAGACTTAACCATAGATTTAATCTTCATTGAGAATGATAAAATTAGGCCTTATTAATTATAAGTCTTATGTCCTCATTTATATCTTATACAACATCTGGTGGTTATTATTACTGGATAGAAGCCCAGCAGATAAAAAGCATGTATGAAAGTTTATTCAGTATGCAAAACTTAGTTGAAAGCAATATTCATACTGGAGAGAAACGATACAAATGTAAATATTATCCTAAAATCTTTAATCAATACGCATACCTTATTCCACACATTGGAATACATTCTAGAGTAGGGGTGTCGAACTCAATCAGAGAAGGGGCCAAAATCTAAAATCCAGCCTAAATCGCGGGCCGAATGGTTTACTGAACAGTCATAAACTGTCATTGTGATGGAAACGCAGCGGAGTGCAGTGATGACAGCGTGGTGCGGGCCACATTGCAAGGCCTGGCGGGACGGATTTGGCCCACGGGCCTTGTGTTTGACACATGTGTTCTAGAGGGAAACCTTAAAACTGAAGAATGTGCCGAAACTGGTTTGGCTCAGTGGATAGAGTGTCGGCCTGCAGATGGAAGGGTTCCATTTTGGTCAAAGGCACGTACCTTGGTTGCGGGCACATTCCCAGTGCAGGAGACATCTGATCTGTTTTTTTCTTCTTATATTATCATTCAGATTTTTCTACTTTATTGATTGTACTTTTCAGAAAAAGTGCATACTGCGCATCCGATTAGTCCTACTCTCAGAGGTTAATTGCTGTTGAGTTTGGGAAAATGAGCGTAGCTGTGGACTGAGTGCTGGCCAAAGGTCAACTACATCACTGCTAATCTTTGCTCCAACAAGTCTTGAAAAACATTTGTGACCTCGATTTGAACATCTTGCATTATCTTTTTCAATTCATTTGTTCGGATAATACTGAAAGGACCGAAAGATGATCTCTGGTAGCCAACATCCTCGATAGAATATCCATTCCCATTGGTGGTGGCTTCTGCTTCTTTGATGTCTCCTCCGCTATTTGTGTGTGGGTTATTTCTCTGACAAGCTCGACATTCTCAGCTTCAGAACCAGAGATCTGTGATGGCGTCGGACTTTCTCAAGGCGACTCTGAAAGTGTTTCACTTGGAGTGCATATTTCAACACCTCTAAATTCTGCGGCTTGTGTTGTTTTTCTTCGTTTGGTGGGTGCCTTCTTCTCTTGTGTGCACGTTCTCTTCTCCCTGCGCATCCCTGTGGATCTGGGTGCTTGGTCGTTGGCCATTGTGTCAACTACCATGTTTTTCTTAAGTGAATATCAGATGATTCGAATAGCTGGACTTTACTGTGTTGAGGTCTGTTCTCTTAATGCAGAACGATCCATTCCCGATGCGAGCCTTTCCAGAAGCCTTGAAAGTGCAATGAGTTGCTCATGACTAGACTCTTTGGCTTTCTCATCTGAGCCTACAACTGCATCAATGTCCGCATTGGTCATTCCGTAGATGGCTCTTAGGCTCTCATAGTCGAGTTGTGCCAGCTTTATCTTTTTGAATGGTGACTCCTGGAGTGCCTCCTCAATCTCCAGCTTGGAGACCTCTGCATTGAGCTCTTTAGTGGTTCTGTAGTCCCTAAATGTTCCTTCATTTTTTTAAACAAGAGAGCAGCCCTGAAGAGAATTGGAAATGACTGCGGAGTAAGTAAGTGATGGTCCTCAAGCTTAAGAATTTTCAAGTATTGAAACTTCTCAGTATGTTGTTCAATAAGCTTCTTTTCAAGCTTAACAAACCTTGCAGCATCAGCAGACACCTGTTGAATAATCATCACTCTTGAGAATCCATCATTGATAAGAGATCTGGTTATTGAATAAGAAGTCATTTCTTCAAATGATGAAAATAGCTTGAGTTGAATAACAAAGGCTCTTGAGGTAAGCCCAGGAAGATCTTGGTCATCAATAAATAAGAGTTTGTTCAAGATTTTCACATCGAGTTCTTCAGAGCTCATCCATTCAGTGGGCTCACAAAGGTCCAAGGCTAGGTCTAGATCAATGGTTGGTGCCTGAATCCCAGGGAACAGGATCGCATGGAGTGCATTGAATCTTTTCTTGATCGTTTGCATAGGGTTTTGTTGAGGTCTTTTGACAAGGTAGAACGTCATAGCCAGTGCAATCTTGATGACTCTTTTAACCGCCATATCATCTAACTCTACATTTGGTCCCCATTCAATAGGCTGTGTGAGGGAATTTGCTGATCCTCTATTGGCATGGATGTACTTGTCCCATGGTATCCCCTCTAGATCGTATAAGAGAGGAAATGTGGCCAGAAGACATGTGACGCTCATGGAGACCCCACCGCCTATAGTTATCTGTTTCATAAGAGTAAAATTCTGCAGATTTGTACCTGCGGCTTGGCATACTTGTTCATGAGGAGATAGATACACTTTCACACTAGTACAACATACCAGCTCTATGTGAGAATGCATTGTGTCTGATTCATGTTTTTCTCTCCTCGATGTTTCTAGTTCTCTCTTACTCTCTGTAAAAAAAATCAATAAAATTTTTTAAAAACAGAAGAATGTGGAAAATCATGTAGTTGGATCTTCAGTCTCAGTAAATATTAGGGATTATAATGGGGTAGAAATTCTGTATTCATGATATAAGACAAAGGACTTTTGTTCAAAATATACCGTTTACAAAACTAAGGAATTTATGCCTTAAAGTGTCTTTAAAGATATAAAAACTTGACCCAAGTATGTAATTGAGAGTTCACACTGGAGAAAAATTTTATAAATGTAGAGAATGTGGCAAAATCTTCCGTGTTGTGTCATTACTTAATCAGAGAGTTCACAATGGAGAGAAACCTAATAAATGTAGATAGTGTGGCAAAACCTTTAGCAGCTCCTCAGACCTTACTAAGCATCAGAGTTCACACTGGAGGGAAGCCTCATAAATGTAGATAATTTGGGAAAATCTTTATCCAGTCTTTATCCCTTATTAATCATCAGCTAGTTCACACTGCAGAGAAACATTGCACCAGATAAATATTGAGAATGCGGCAAATCCTTTGGCAGCTCCTCATTCCTTACTAAGCATCAGAGAGTTCATTCTGTACAGAAGCCTTATACATGTAGAAGATATAATGCAGTCATCAGTGTTCCTGCTTTACTGTACAGCAGAGTTATTTATTCTTTAAAATATTTTTTATTGATTTTCTGACAGGAAAGGAGAGGGATAGAGAGAAACATCAATGAGAGAGAAACCGATCAGCTTCCTCCTGCACACTCCCCACTGGAGATGTGCCCGCAACCAAGGCACATGACCTTGACCGGAATCAAACCTGGGACCCTTCAGTCCACAGGCCAACGCTCTATCCACTAAGACAAACCGATCAGGGCATCAGCAGAGTTCTTACTTGAGAGAAGACTTTCAAATGTGAGGAATGTTGTAAGTCTTTAACACCTCTGAGAACTTACTGAACTTCACAGATTTCATCCTGGCAGAAAGCCTTATGAATGTGAAAAATGTAGAAAAGCCTTTAACTGTACCTGAGACTTCATACTAAAGACAGTCCTTACAATTGTAGAGCATGTGCAAGAGACTGTACCCACAGCTCAAATTTTACTGAATAAAATGTATTGTATATAGTGGTGGAAAGCCTTACACTGTAAAGAATGTGAGAAAGCCTTTAATTTGAGGTCTAATCTCAACTTTTTCGGAATCATTCTAAAGAGAAAGAGCAATAATACAAAGTTTTCATCCAAAGATTTAACCATAGTTTATCATTTAAAATGATGAAATTGGGTCTTACAAATTATGAGGCATACTTTATTTTTTTTTTTAAATATATTGATTTTTTACAAAGAGGAAGGGGAGAGGGATAGAAAGCTAGAAACATCTATGAGAGACATTGATCAGCTGCCTCCTCCATGACCCCCACTTGGGATGTGCCTGCAACCAAGGTACATGCCCTTGACTGGAATCGAACCTGAGACTCTTCATTTCACAGGTCAATGCTGTATCCACTGAGCCAAACCAGTTTCGGCTATTCTCACTTTCTTGAATGTAGCCTAATGTTGGTCATTCTTTGTAGAGGAACCCCAGAGACCAACCCTCTTATTATTTTGGTTGCAAAGTTATTTTTTTTAAAATATTTTTATTGATTTTATACAGAGAGGAAGGGAGAGAGATAGAGAGTTAGAAACATCGATGAGAGAGAGTCATCAATCAGCTGCCTCTTGCACACCCTTCACTGGGGATATGCCCGCAACCAAGGTACATGCCCCCGACCGGAATCGAACCCGGGACCCTTCGGTCCCGAAGCCGACGCTCTATCCACCGAGCCAAACCAGTCCCGGCGCAAAGTTATTTTGTATATTTATGGCCTGACCAGAGGTATGTCTTTTGGCATTAGCTGTCCCTGCAGTGTTTTCCAAGCCATCACTGCAAGTTCCAGGGACAGCAGGATAGAGGAGACAAATGAAAGCACCACATTTTTTTACTTTTCCAGTATCCAGTGCTGAATTTGTACAAGGTGGTAAACATCAGTTCCTATGCATGTGCCACCCAAAGGACTGAC